AACCCAAACAAGGGTCACTCCTGGAGCACCCAGAGCAGGTGACCAGAAAGACTGTGCCAGGGCCCCACAGGGCACCTACTACATAAGACCACAGTGGCCAAGACTGGGAGACATAGCAGATCCATGTAGGAACAAACACAGAGAGGCAGCCAAAATGAGGAAACAAGGAAATACATCCCAAAAGAAAGAACAGGAAAAACAACTTCAGGAAAAGAATGCAACGAAATACAGGCAAGCAACCTACCAGATGTAGAGTTCAAAACCATGGTTATCAGGATGCTCAACAAACTTAGTGAGAACTTCAACAAAGAGATAGAAAGCATAAAAAAAGACATAAAAACCATAAAAAAGAACCAGTCAGAAGTGAAGAAGACAATAACTGACATGAAGAATGCATTAGAAGAAATCACCAGCAGGCTAGATGAAGCAGAGGACCGAATCAGCAATTTAGAAGACAAAGTAGCAGAAAACACCTAATTGGAACAGTAAAAAGGGAAAAAAAATTTAAATGAGGATATGTTAAGAGACCTCTGGGACAACATCAAGCATAACAACATTCACATTATAGGGGTATCATAAGGAGAAGAGGGGAAACAAGGGATTGAGAACCTATTTGAAGAAATTATGATGGAAAATTTCCCTAACCTGGCAAAGGAAACAGACATACAAGCCCAGCAAGCACAGAGAGTCCCAAACAAAATAAACCCCAACAGGCTCACATCAAGACACATTATAATTAAAATGGGAAAGTTTAAAGGCAAAGAGAGAACCCTAAATGCAGCAAGAGAAAGGCAACTAGTTACTTACAGGGGAGCTTCCATAAGATTATCAGCTGATTCCTCAACAGAAACTTTGCAGGAAAAAAAAGGGATTGACATGAAATATTCAAAGTGATGAAAAAAAAAAGGCAGGAACCAACAACCAAAACTACTCTACCCAGTAAGGCTATCATTTAAAATTAAAGGAGAGATAAAGCGCTTCCCAGACAAGAAAAAGCTAAAGGAGTTCATCACCACCAAATGAGTATTACAAGAAATATTAAAGGGGCTTCTTTAAGAAAAAGAAGCAGAAAAATTTTAAAAAGAACATAAAGGTGAATAATAAAATGGTAATAACTATGTACCTATCAATAATCACTTTAAATGTAAATGAATAAATGAATTAAATGCTCCAATCAAAAGACATAGTGTAGCTGAATGGATAAGAAAACAAGACCCATACATATGCTGTCTACAAGAGAACCACTTCAGATGGAAAGACACACACAGACTGAAAGTAAAGGGATGAAAAAAATGTTTCATGAGAACGGAAATGAAAAAAAAAAGCTGGGGTAACAAAATAGACTTTAAAAAAAAGGCTATAATAAGAGACCAAGAGGGACATTACATAATGATAAAGGGATCGAGCAATCAAAATGAAAAATAAAAATCATGTGGACGTATCAATTGATGCCAAAAAAGTGTTTGACAAAATCCAGCATTCAATTATGATAAAAACTCTCAGCGAGATGGGAAGAGTGAACATACCTCAACCTAATACAAGCCATATACCACAAACCCACTGCAAACATCATACTCAATGGGGAAAAACTAAAAGCATTCTCCTTAAGAGAAGGAATAATACAAGAATGCCCACTTTCACCACTTTTATTCAACATTGTATTGGAAGTCCTAGTCCCAGCAATTAGACAAGAAAAAGAAATGAAAATCATCCAAATGGAAAAGGAAGAAGTAAAATTGTCATTATTTGGGGATGACATGTTACTATAGAGAGAGAACCCCAAAGATTCTACCAAAAAGTCTATTAGAACTAATAAATAAATTCAGTAAAGTAGATGCATACAAAATTAATATTCAGAAATGGGTTGTAGGATTTCCAGTCAAGATGGCAGAGTAAGTAAACGCTATGCTCACCTCCTCTCAGGACCACATCAATTACACCTAAACCACAGAACAATCATTATTGAGAATCACCTGAATTGTAGCTGAATCGCAGCCCTTCAACTACAGATATACAGAAGAAGCCACCTCAAGACTGGTAGGAGGGGCAGAAATGCGGAAAGGACTGGTCCCACACCAATGTATGACTGCTAAAAATTGGGCGAGATAGCTCGGCTGCGGATGGATGTCCTCCCCTGAAGAACAAGAGGTCTCCAGCCTCTTCCCAGCCCAGGACTTCAGAAGAAACCCAAAATGCTAGTTCAATGGGACGTGTGCATCCATATATTCATTACAGCATTGTTTACAATGGCAAAGATGTGGAGGCAGCCTGGGTGTCCAGTGATGGATGAATGGATAAAGAGTAGGTGGTACATATATACAATGGAATATTGATTGGCCACGGAAAGCAATGGGTTCTTGCCATCTGCAGTGGCACGGACGGACCTGGAGGGTATTGTGCTGAGTGGAGTAAGTCAGAGAGAAAGACAGATGCAATGTGATTTCGCTTTTATGTGGGATCTATAAAACTCCCAGAAGAATACATAGGCAGTAAACTCTCAGACATCACACTTAGTAATATTTTTACTGAAATATCTCCTCAGGCAAGGGAAACAAAAGATAAAAATAATCAAATGGGACTACACCAAACTGAAAAGTTTTTGCACAGCAAAGCAAACCATCAACAAAACCAAAAGACATCCTGTAGAATGGGAGAAGATATTTGCCAATGATATATCTCATAAGGGGTTAATACGCAAAATTTATTTAAAAACTCATACAACTCAACATCAAACAAAATAAAATAATGAACAGTTCAATTAAAACATGAGCAGAAGACCTGAATAGACATTTCTCCAAAGGGGACATACACATGACCAATAGACATATGAAAAGATGATCAACATCACTATTCATTAGAGAAATACAAATTAAAATGACCATGAGATATTATCTCATACCGGTCAGAAAGGTCATCATCAATAAATCAACAAACAACAGGTGTTGGTGAGGATGTGGAGAAAAGGGAACCCTTGTACACTGTTGGTGGGATTACCAACTGGTGCAGCCACTATGGAAAATGATTTGGAGGTTCCTCAAAAAGTTAAAAAGGAAACTACCTTATGACTTAGCCACTCCACTTCTGGTATTTACTTGAAGAAATCCAAAACACTAATTCAAAAAGATATATGCACCCCTATGTTTACTGCAACACTATTTACAATAGCCAAGATATGGAAGCAACCCAAGTGCCCATCAATAGACGACTGGATAAATAAATTGTGGTGCACATACACAATGGAACATTACTCGGCCATAAAAAAGAATGAAATACCATGTGCAACAACATGGATGGACCTAAAGGGTATTATATTAAATGAAATAAGTCAGATATAGAGAGACAAATACCATATGACCTCACTTATATGTGGAACCTAAAGAACAAAATAAACAACAACAACAACAAAAGCCACAAAACAGAAATGGACCCTTAGATACAGAGAACAAGTTGATGGTTGTCAGCGAGGAGGGGGTTTGGGAGCTGGGTGCAAAAGGTGAGGGGATTAAGAAGTACAAATTGGTAGTTACAGAAAGTCATGGGGATGTAAAGTAAAGCATAGAGAATATAGTCAATAATGTTACAACAACTATGTATAATGCCAGGTGTACTGGAATAATCGGGGGGATCACTGCATAAATTATATAAATGTCTAACCACTATGCTGCACACCTGAAATTAATATAAAATAATATTGAATGCCAACTGTAACATTAAAAAAAAGTAGATGTGAGGTCAACTAGAGAGGGAAAGAAATTGAAGCTATAGAAAAAAGAAGGCATGTGACCAAATCACAAATGAAGGGAAAGCTCTTCCATTATAACCAGAAGGAAGGTGTTAAGTGATGGATGTGGATGTAGGCATGCCCAGAAGCTTGGGATGAGAAGTTAGGGAATTTATCATTTCATACCTATCACTCTGTCTGTAAAATAGTAGGTAAAGTCATTTGCTGAGCATGAGCAGGAAGGTTTCAGGGTTGGAATTTTGAGTTTAGTACAGAAAATTTGAAATAGCCATTATTGAAACAAGGGAAAAAGGAAGCTGACCAAAGTAACACAGAAGGATTTCAGGTCATTACCAAAGGGCCAGGTGAGATTAGAAGCCATACATTTGTGGTGTAGTAGTACCAGCTTCTTTGGTTATGTGATTTTCTGCAGCAGGGTTCTGCAACTCAGATATGGGCATGAACAAGTTGGAAATAGTTGAGCTGACTCAGGGTTGGTGTTTTACCAGGTTGGTGTGAAAGGACTGTGGGGCGAGGGACCTGGGGATATTGAAAAGAGAGTAGCTGAAGTGAGAAATCACAGACCCTAAATAGACCAAAGAAAGAAGTGAAGACAGTAGGTAGCTGGTAGGCAGGAGTCAGGACTTAGAGGTCCCAATGAGGTGGAAGAATAAATGGACTGGAAGAAAAACAGACAACCATAATTACAGAGGTTGTAGTCAGAAAGTGGGATGTTTTAATTTATGATTTAATTGTAATTCTGAGTGATGGCTGAGGTTCAACGTGTGGACCATGGAAGTGGGTGGATGAAGAGGGGCAGAAGTGTGGGTCACTGAAGGAGGAGATGGCAAGGAGCCAGGAAACTAGGTGGCTAGAGTATGATTAGATGGGTTGGCCACGGGAATGCTGCTAAGGTCGCCGAAAATGATGACAGAAGCAATAAAAAGGAATATTGTGAACCTGGAGCCCAAGCCTTCAGTGCACAAGACTGGGATATAAGGAAGGTCAAATCTGGCCTCATGAACCCCTGTAGTCCCTTGAAGCCTTGGTGACTATACCGAATAATGTTTTACTTTTAGACCTCAGATTCTTTGCAAATGAAGAACTTGGTAGGCTGCAGAGACAGAGACTCGTGCCAGGAATCCACAGGGCAATCTACCACTGAAGCTTAGTAAAATCTTCAGGTGGCAGCTGCTACATGTGCCTGAACAGAATTAAGTGACTTTAAACTGGACCCTTTTTATAAGAGCAGGCATGTCAAAAGACTGTAAGCACCCACCTCTCAGCAATATTTTTTGCAGACTGGAGAAACCGTGCTTGGTCATTTTCCTTCAGGATATGCTCAGCTTGATTGATGAGGACTGTTGACCTTTCAAGACACTGGCGGCAATTAGCAACCTGCTGTGCCAACTTTCTCAGTTTCATAACCTTAAAGGAATTAGTAACAGAAAAATAGGAGAAAACATCCAGGGATAATTAAAAACAATAAAACAACATGAAGGGAATCTGCTGCATAGATTCTAAAAATAAGGCCTATGAATATTAATATCCAATGGCCCCTCTACTAACCACTCACCTCCTCACCCTATCCTTTATGTCTGTCGGGCCAACCTCTCCTCCCACCTACAGGCCGCTTACTTACCCTGCAGCACACTCAGTCATATACTGTAGGCGATCTACCTCCTCTTTTTATGGATAACATTAATTTTCTGATCATAAACACAATGCATGCTCATATAGAAAATAAAAAGTATAAAAAGAAACCTTACCACCCAGAGATCATCATTGCTTACATTTTATTGTCAATATATTTTCATATATATATTTAATAAAAAGCACCTTTTCTTTATGAGTATCTACATTTCTATGTATATATTTCTCTAAGTATCTTTACACATACCTGTGTGTTCACAGATCTGTGTTCTTGAAAGCTTCAATTCCTATGTTAGTTGGAACCACCCAGCATGGCACAAGTATTAGTCATCACCACAGGCTCTCATAACTTCTCACACTGTACACACAGCATGAGCTTATAATCACAACACTGCCAGCAGACCAATAAGCCTAAAACCATGTAGATGCATGGAGGCTCACACCGGACCTTGATGAGGATTCTTCAGTTCCCAGGCTAAAAGCCTGGAAGTACGCTCTTTCTCCTTCTTCTTTTCTGTTTAATTAGTCAGTGATTCCCACCATTTCCTTGCTAGCGATGCCTGTTATGTACTTCCATTCTATTTATGCTGTCACCTCCCCAGTTTAGGTCTTCATCAATTCATACCAAGAATCATTCCATAAGCATCCTAACTTACTTCCCTGGCTTCAGTATCGTCCCATTCTGATGAACCCTGCACACCTGTGTCATATCAATCAGTTTTCTCCCTTCCTAAGAAACTAGAATGGTTTAGCAATGTCTTTCAAATTAAACTCAAAGTCTCTATCCTGCATTTATGGTTCTTCCATTATTCTGGCCCACATTTGTACCATTACTTTTTTTCTTTTTGTATTGACTTATAACATACACATAGTAAAGCATCCAAATGTGAAGTGTACCACTCAATGATGTTTTGCATGTACATACACCCCTGTAACCACCAGCCAGGTCAAGAACGTTTCGAACACCAGAACAGCCATCACTTTAATTGGGCTCATAACACTAGGCCAAACATTGCTGCTTCTTTGCCTCCCTCCATAAAAACTCATTTCTTCTTGCTTTCACGATCCAAGTTCAAACTGGAATCATCAGGATGAAACTTGGGGCATTTGTAAAGTCAACTCTGCCTTGACCTCCCTGGAGTGCTGTGCTTTACCTTTGTTTCTTTGATTTTCACAGCAATCATTTGCTTCCTCTGCTGGATGATCTCTACCAACTCGTCACATTCTTCCATAAGTTTTGCCTCATGCATAGCAGTATTCACCTGCCAAGAAAGTCCAAAATATTACAAAGTGATTGCTGCCTTTGTCCCCTGCTAGCTTCAAAGGTTCGGACTGACAGCTAAGCATGCACAACTTCTTCCATACCTCCCTCATAAGATCCACTCCTAGAAGAAGGGTGGAGGTGATGATATTAATGATGCAAGGGCATTGAAGCATCACAGATAGGAAGCTCTCCGGCCTCTGGTAGATCATGATGGTTAATGGAAGGCTGGGCAGAAGGACAGATGAGATGGGGGCATGTTATTGCCATTGTGCAATTCCCTTTACTCCAGCACCCTGTCCTCCTGTTGTTCTTTTGGAAAGAGGGTAAGGAGATATAAGTATGCCAGGGAAAGAGGATCCCTCTTCACAGGCACAATAATATTAAGATAACATAACAACAACATATTGGGTTGTCAGAAAAGTCATGATGTACTTTTTCTACGTTTTTCGTTGCAAAACTGCATCATGACTTTTCTGACAACCCAATATTTCTACCATCCTAACAAAAATGTTTGCAGCTTTCCTTGTTCCCTTCTAATTTTAAAATATATAAATGTGCAGCTGTATCTTCACATTAAATATGTGCATGCATAGATACATTTTCACATAGTTGTCATCATGTCTTAGTAGATAATTCTCAGCTTGGGTTGTCCAGTATTGGAATGCCTTCCCTATTTTGGAATACTGGCTAGCTACATGAAAATATCTCTACTGCAAAAATCAGGGTGGGGTTCGAAAAAAAAAGTCACCATTCTTCATTATTTTTCCATGTACTGATTTATGTTTCTTCCCATCCCTACTACTACCAATATTAGATGGTATTCTTCAGTTTCCAGGCTAAAAGCCTCCAGGAAGGCAGAAATGAGAGCAGGGGATCTTTGGGCTAGTTAAGTACAAAGGGAAAGGAAGGGGAAATCAACTTATATATTTTAAGCACTTGGAAATTCGTTTATCTATTTGTTTATTGAGCAAACTTCTACTTACTTTTCCAGACCCTACTCAAAGATCATGACCTCTGAAACTTTTTGTCACCTGCTTGGACAAAATCTTCCCTTATGTACATTCCTATGACACTTTATATATATAATTCAATTATACCATTTAGTGCCTCATATCACAGGAATTTATTAGTTTGCCTTTCCTGCTGAAACATGAATTCTGGAGGCCAGGGATTGTGTCTTATTTGACTCTATCTCCAGCATGGGGAGTGGCATATGATAGATGCTCAGTAAATACTTGTTGCATTGAATTGAATGGTGGGGGGAATTATCTCACTGCTTGCTAGGCATGTCCACGTAATTACTCCAGTTACCCTAAACTCAGTATGCCTAAAAACAAACTCATCATCTTCCCTCTAAATCTGGCTTCCACCCCTGATTTCCTCTTTCTTGTTAATGTTGCTGTCATTATTGCAGTTACCTGTGACTACTACTTCTCCCTCATCCCTCACATAAATCCACAGCAGTCCCAAAGACCTGCCCTCCTTTTCTTTTCAATTTCACTGAAGTTCTTCTGGTAATACAGTGAGGCTCTGAGCCAAGGGACCAAGAAGTTGAAGCCCTTATAATAATAGCCTCTTGGGCTATTATTGTAAAAGCCTCACTAATTCACCCCCTAGCTCCAGAATATTTCCTTTGCTGCCCACCCTCATAATCCATTCCATACCCTGAAATCAGGAAAAATCAGCACCATCTTTATCATCAAACATGTATTAAACATCTCTTGTGCATGATGCATTATGCTCAGGCCCTGCCCTCAATGAATTTGCAATCTGGATGGGCAAAAGCTACCTAAATATAAAACAAAAAAAGTAAAGGTAGCATAAACTAAATACCAGTGAGTGATGTAGACTATATATAATCTACAGAAATTGAAGGGAAAGATCACTGTTGGTGGGGAAGTGGAGAAAAGATACCTGAATGAAATGGGACTTGAACTGAGTCTTAAAAATGGATAGGACTTACATAGATGTAAAAGGTCAGAAGTGGCCAGCTGAGTGGCTCAGGTGGTTAAGAGCATGAGCTCTGAGTAACAGGGTCGCCGGTTCAATTCCCACATGGGCCAGTGAGCTGCGCCCGAGCTGAGCTGCCGCTGAGCTGCTAACAGGTGGCAGGATGGCTCAGCTGGTGAGAGTACGTGCTCCTAACAACAAGGTTGCCGGTTCGACTCCCTGCATGGGATGGTGGGCTGCCCACCCGCAACTAAGATTGAACATGGCACCTTGAGCTGACCGGCCGTGAGCTGCCGATGGGTGGCCGGATGGCGACTGGACTTGGAGCTGAGCTAGCTGCGCCCTCCACAACTAAGACTGAAGGACAACAACTTGGCTGTTCCCCTTCCCCAATTCCCCAACACTGTTCCCCTTCCCTAATTCCCCAATAAAATCTTTTTTTTAAGAAAAAAAAGGTCAAAAGGAGAAAACAATTTTTTAAAGATTTTATTGGGGAATTAGGGGAGGGGAACAGTGTTGAGGAAACGGGGAAGGGGAACAGACAAGCTGCTGTCCTTTTGTTCTTCAGTCTAGTTGTGGAGGACATTGCTTCACTGGCCCGTGTTGGTATTATCATTGCGCTCTTCCCGGCTGAGGCAGATTGGTCACTGGCCACTGGACTGCCACTCATGGCAGCTCTTGGCAGCTCACACTGGCTGCCAGCCACTCACGCCGGCTGCTTATGGCAGCCCACTGCAGCTTCACTGAAGCCTACGCCATCGCCGGCGACACACGGTAGCCCAGCTCCAGGTTGAGCTGTTGTTCAGCATCTTAGCTGTAGAGGGCAGTGTCACTGGCCCTCATGTGGGATCTGAACCGGGGCCTTGCTGCTCAGAGCTGGCGTCCCAAGCCAACTCTTAACCAACGCGCCACTCGGCCGGCCCAAGAAGGAGGGACATTTTGAGCCAATCTAATGAGATTGAACCTTGTTCTTTAGACAATATGGTATCTTTGGGAAGTATTTTTGGGAAAAGGAAGATAAGATGGTGGGAGTTAACTTTGTTAACTTTATTTAGTATTAAGATGAACTGGGATTGATTTGATTGGGGGTAATCGCAAGCTTGGGGATGATTTATGAAGCTATTGTGATGTGAACAGAGGCTATTCAAGACGGGTAACAGGAATAGAAAGGAAAGGTCCAATATGAGAAGCACTTCTTTGCCTGAAAATCCTCAACTGGACAGCAAGCTCCTAGACGAAACTTCTTATGCCATTTTATTTCTCCCACTGTAACAGGCACAATGCCTTACACACAACAAACACTTAAGAAACTTCTACTGATTGATTTAGCAAAGTGAAAAATCAAGATAAGAATGGCAAAATTTAGTAAATATACTATAGTAAGTGCATTTTGTGGAGAAAATGTAGATTGAGGTGAGGGATCTGGGGTGGGGTTTGGACAGTTGCATCGGGAGAGATATAACAGCCAGGCACAACTAACAGTGCAGAAAGTTGGCTAAAGAGGCAAAAATCCCAAACTAAAGGTAAAGCAGTGACATTAAAATCTTTCCATGTCAAGAAGCAGCCCAAAGGAGCAGGATCCTTATGTGTTTTCTGAACAGGAAATACTCCAGGGGGAAAAAACTGTCTTCATGATGTGAATAAAACATCTCAAATTGCTGGAAGGCATTTGAAAGCCCTGGTATTTTCCTTGTCTGCAGTTTTCTTTGAAAACACAGTACAGTATTTCACTGGCTTTTTAACCCTTAGTTGAAAACAACAGGGGTTATCTTGATAAGTATTCTTGGTTGGTTAGCTGGTTGGTTGATTTGTGGAAGACTCCAACTCTTTCTTCGCCCTTTGCTTGTTGGTGTGGGTCAGTGGGTTTGACTAAATGGCTTTACGTCTGTGGAAAAATCTATCCTCCCTGAAAATATCACTAGGGTAATCTTGGCAACCTACTTCTGTAAATCTAGCCACCCCGAAAAGACTTTTGGGCAGTTTCTGATGTGTAAGACCGAGTCTCAGCACCAATGTTCCAAAGCCTAAGCACCAGATAACACAGGCCTTCCTGTTCAATGTCCAGGTCTTCTTCTCTGCTGTGTGTTCTTTTCTTCCAAAAGATGGAACGAATTTGACTTGCTCATTTCTTTCCAACTTCTCACCCTACTCTGTTTCCCGAAGGTCTCTCTTATCTCACAGCCCAAAGATTTAACCCAGAGTCAGACCTAGTCTTCTCCAGTTTTCACCCTTCCCGAACACAAATATACATGCACCGTTTGAAGGATTTTTCTGCTGGTTACTACAAGAAAATAAATATGTGGGAGTTTACAAAAGCCACAGGTTGCAAAAAGGTTTAAGAGACAACAAAAAAGTTATTTTGGTAGTTGTTACTATTCCGTATTGAAATGCAAATGGACTAGACCTTTATACCATTGTTTTTTTTCAGAGAGCTCATTTGATAGTTTCTTGGGAAATCTCCCACACACTCATTCTATAAGTCTTTTATTCCTGGGTTTAAAGTTTATCAGCCTTCCCTCTTACCCACCCCCATGAGAAATGTCCCCATTCTTCCCATCCCCTCAGCTCAGTCACTCCCATCAGTCACGCAGAGCCCTGCACTGGCGTTCAGAAGGAACTTAGATTTCCTGTTCAGGTGGAACAATATATATGAAGTAGTGGATAGGCCCTATACCCAAACTCAAGTGAAATTCATTTATAGGGTAATGCAACTCCTCATTGGCATCTCCATCCCAATGCCCTCCACTCTACACAGTCAATGCCAGCCTAGTTTATTCCCTGAAATCTGCTGAAATTGATCTTCCCCTTCCACCTAGAATATTTTGAAATGCCACTTTAAAAGATCATTTTGGGGAGTTTTTATTTCAGCAAACATTTATTGAGAGCCTACACCACATACAAGGCACTATGCAGGTTCCTAAGTGGGACAGAATGATGAAAAAGACTCAGCTTCTGACTTCAAGGCACTTACAGTCTAGTGGAGAAGAAGAGTATGAATTCAGCTAATTACAATTTAAGGAACAGTAGAACAAGTAATGTAATACAATA